CAGTTTAATTGCTGAGCAAGAACTGCATAGAATGTACAAACTCGACACTTTCATATTATTCATTTTAGCCGAAAACCTACAGTTTGTAAAAAACTTGATAAAAGATTAGTTACCGTTTTTGCAGGCTTTGTTCATCCCATAGAAATCTACAGGGTGGTCGAGTGTACCAATTTAATCGAAATTAAATCACCTCATGCATTTATTTTTATGATATTTAGTATGTTATAAAAATATCCCTAGACTTTTCCGATGTGTGTGAAACGCATGAGTTTCAAACAATACTGTTTGTTGGTAACCAGGTGATTCGGCGTCACCTGACACGGCCACTTTACAGCAAACGCGATAATATGAAAATAGTTAACTGACAAGAGATGTCAAAATGTGTATTTGTAGAAATATTAAATTTATCTATTTTTTTAGGAAAACAGGACAGTTGTACAAAAAACTTTGTGTGATATTTGTGTTAGAAGTACGTTTTATTAAAATCGCTCAACTCGCTGCGCTCGTTTTGCAAACTTTTTTCACTCACAAAATAAAACCTTATGTTTGACACTCATATAATTATTAGCTATTTCATGGAAGTATAACTGAGTCATCATGAAAAAAATATCGAAGTGAATGAATACATGTAAATATAATAAGCATAACTTCCATGAATGAATTACAAAATACAGTCACTCGGATGAACATTGAAGTGGTTAATAGCAATCATTTTTCAAATTATTCAACTGCAGAATTTTCATTCCGCAGATTATCAATATCCATTTCTTCAATTTGAAACTTGGGTAAAAGAAGAATTTGTTCAATGAGAATTTCTTTAACTTCACCTTTCTGAGAATTTCCTTCAGTCTTATTCATACCGCCCAATATTTCATTTTTACGAAGAGATAGTTTCAATTCTTTTTTAGGTTTTTCACAATCAAATGAACTTCCATGGTGATGCGAAAGATTGAAACATTATTATTTTCAGGAGCTTCTGAAGAGGGGTGCCGATCCCAACTTTCCGAATAAAAATGGTAATCGAGCATTACACTATGCATGCATGAATAGTGACATGAAGATTGTTTTCGACCTGGTCACCCATGGAGCTAATGTTAAAGTCCGAAATGTGTTCGACGTTACTCCTCTGACGATTGCTGCAATTGACAGACATTCCCCAGTAATTACAAGATATTTACTGAGGAAAGGAGCTCACCAGAAGGCATCTAAAGAGTTTCCTTTGTTGTTGGGTAAATATGACTATTCATCTGTAGTGTGGAACATGTGAAAGTGATGCAGAGAGGGTGAAATATAAGTCTATTTTTATTCAACGTTTCATCGAACAATAATAATAGTTTGATGGAAAGCCTCGATCATAAAGCAGTTGCCTGTCTTATCAAATACTTCTTTGAAGTGGAAAATGAAAATTAACAACTTTCTATGTTTACTCCTTTGAAGTCACTCTTTGATTTTCCTCTAATTTCACAGGTCAACAGTGTTTTTGTCACATGAACTTTGTGATGTGTTTTGTTTATGTTGGCCTACCCCCTTTATAAATATACAGTGTCACCATTAAAGTGCGCACCATATGGGAAACTTTTTTTTCGAAAAGTTTCAATAAAGTCTAACTTCGGCACTTGTTTGTGCTTTAAATTTAACTTGAAATGATGCGGCTAACTGCGACCCACTGACGTTCAGTGTTTGTCAAATTAAACTTTTTTTTTTGAAAAAAATTGAAAAAGTGCATTTCTAGATCGAATTTAACATAAAGTTACTTGAAAAAGTTGTGTCTAAGGCAATTTTATATCCATATGCCAAATTCCATGCAAGTAGGATAAAGTTAACGTTTTGTTTATTTTTGACAGATATCCCCTTTATTTTAAAAAACAAGTTCGGTTAATTGTCATCAATTCATGTATACATAACAAACTTTGAAAAAGAGTGATATCAGTTCAGAAGATTTCTCTTCGTGGTTGAACTAAAAAGCAAGTTTTGCGTGTGATGTTAGTATCCCACGCAAAACATTTTCACGGGAATTTACAAATCAAATGAAGAGAAATGTAAGAGTATGCAATACTCACAGCCGAAACACTCACATGACATGTGGTTATTGTGACGAAAGACATCAAGAAACCATTTGTCCACAGATGAATTAGGATGACCTGAATAAGAGATGGGAAACGGTAACCGGAAAAAACTATGTTTCAGTTGCCTTCAAAAGAATCATTAAACATTCAAATGTGGAAAGAAGAAGGTTTTTGAAACAAACGGCTGTAAACTCCACCATCATCCTCTATTCCACAAAGAATTGAAAGTCGATAACAATCAGGCAGCGATAGGAAAAGATATCGATGATGATAATCGAGAAAGAGTATACTCTGTCAATAAACCTTCGATTCTTCTGAGAGTGATTCGTATAAAATCATACGATCCACGAGGTGTTGTCCCTATTCTCGCTCTTCGTTGTGAGGCGTCTACGATGACACTATCAAAACGAAAATGTCATGGTTGGAGAAAATTCCGTTCGTTTAGACGTGACTCTTTTTAAAATTGATCATGACAGCAGAATATTTACTATGAAAAGAGTCAGAACTGTCACTCATATGTCGTTGCCAAAACAAACATCAACATATCCGATTGGAAAAAATTTTCACATCTAAAGGGTGTTCCAATAAAAGATATCAATCACTTAAAATCATCACTGCTTATTGAAAAATATTACAAACATCTGATACATTCGAGACAGATAAGGACCGGTCCAGAAAATCTTTCAGTTGCCAGTATATGTTAGTTAGGTTGGGCTGTACACGGACCAAGTCCAATTAGCAGGAAAACCCTTTTGAAGCCCATACTTTACATGTTTGTTGTGAAAAAGAGACGACTGATGAAGAGATGCAAAAGGTGACTGAAACATTTGGTACCTTGATCGCAGCCGACCAACCATCTCGTGAAAGTTCACGAGCATTAGAACTGATGAGAAACTGAGAAACACCAGAAACACTGAGGAGATTGCCGTTGCTGTATTTCTTGATATTGAAGGAGCACTTGACAATGCACTACCTAAATCTATAGGATTGTCTCTGACTAGGAAGGGCATGGAATCGACCAAACTGGCTGGATCTATGCCATGCTAGTAGACAGAACTGCAACTACGACTCTTCAAGACGAGGCATTAGGTTCAGGGTCACCAGGGGCTGCCCTCAAGGTGGAGTACCTTCTGTGGTCGCTCCTGATGGATAGTCTGCTTGATGCCCTCGACAGAAGAAAAGTAGATCTGCAAACTCATGCAGATGACCTTGTCATTCTGGCAAGGTCCACGTCGGGAAGGGTAGCTTGTAATATTCTCTAAAGCACGTTGGACGTTGTTCACAGTTGATGCTTGAGGGAGCAGATGTCTGTCAACCCCAGCAAAACTGTGTTAATCACCTTCACCAAGACGAGAAAATTGGACGATCTAATGCCAGTTTCCCTAAATGGTGAGGTCATTCTATTTGGAACGGAAGTGAAATATCTTGGCATTATCCTTGATAAAACACTCACCTGGAACGCTCACTTGGAAAAAGTTTAACACAAAGCCAGACTGTCTCTATGGGTATGTCGAAGGATTTGTGATAAAACTTGGGGTTTAGGTCCCAAAAAATCCACTGGATTCATGTGATGATTGTTAGACCAATGATCACTTATTGTGCATTTGCCTGGTGACCGAGAGCTTTACAGAAAACGGCCCAAGCGACGCTCTTCGATATACAGAGAAAGGCTTGTCTGGCTATCAGTGGTACCATCAGCACCACACCGTCAGCGGCCATGGACTGGCCATACTGGTCTGTAAGGCAACGAAGCTGCTGACTCCCTTGCAAAGGAGGGTGCTGCAAGCAGCTTCATTGGACCAGAACCTTCATCGGCATCGCTTTATGCTTTGCCAAACAAAGATTGAACACCTGGATGGCAAGAAAATGTATGGACTTCTGGCAGAATCTTCCAGGATTGGCACACTTCAAGGCGTTTATCCACCCTTCGAAGCTTGATACCAAACAGATGTTCAACTACAGTAGGGATGAACTACGATGACTAACAGGCCTTCTTACAGGTCACTGTCATTTGAATCATCATAAGCAGAGCATATACTTCATTTCTGCCCCGCTGGGGACTGGATCAGGTTCTTACAGTTCGACAGAGCCTACTCTCACCGTATGACCTGTAAAACTACTCGCCATACAAACTAATCGGCTTCGTATGCATGGCACTTCAAAGACTAAAATGAGTGGAAAAAAAATTTTGTCTGAAGAAAACATTCGGGAAGAAATGTCATCTGAATAAAAATTTTGGGAAGGAATGTTGCAAAGAAAAATAATGGAATATGAAGCAAAAGGATACATGAGGAAGTTGAACTTAGAGAAAGAGAAAATTGACAATTCTCATCTTTGGTATCTTCCTCATTTCGCTGTAGAAAATCTCAACAAGCAGAATAAAATTGGGCTTGTCGTTGATGCTGCAGCAAAATCAAGAGGTATGAGCTTGAATGATACTCTACTGTTTGGTCCAGATTTGGTGCAATATTTATGAAATGTTGGTTATTAATTTTGGAGCAACATGTTCGCTCGTATGTGCTCAATTCGTGAAAAACTCAAATGCTAAGGAATTTTCTATGAATCCAGATATCTGCAAAGCTATTATTGAGGAATTCTATGTGGATGACTACTTGGATTCGAAATACACTAAAGAAGAAGCACTAGAAACGATATAATAGAAGTATGCAAAGTCTAGAAGTTTGCGGGATTCGAAGTAGTCAACTGGATGACAAACTCCCAACTGATTCAAAATGAGCTATCTGATGATATGTTACTGGCAGCTACAAAAAATATCGATTACACTTCCTCACATCGAATATTAGGCTTATGGTGGGATCCCTGAAACGACGAATTTTCCTTCAGACTGACTTTAGAAAATTTGGTGGCGGAACAACCTACAACAAGGAAGGTTTTGAGAGCTTTGATGTCGGTATACGACCCGCTAGGTTTGATCTCAACTTTCACGGTGAGAGGTAAAATACCGATGCAAGATATTTGTCGAGTAGAAATCGATTGGGATGATATGTTACCTGTAGATTGTACAGATAAAAACTCCAACATGCTATAGTCATTACGAATCGAAATTCACACATTTTGTTATAGTAGTAAGAAAGCATTCTCATCAGCTAGCTTCCTTCGCGTCATTGGAGAAGGCAGAACTAATGTTTGTCTCATCTCAGTCTTACAAAATGCAGAATATAATATTGTATCTTGATTTACTTCAGGTACAATATATCACTATGACTATTGCCGCGTTTTTTGTTTCAGAATGCGCTTTAGCTTGTAGCGACGAGGAGCGACTGGATATTTTCAAGTCGTTAATCAAACATGGCCTGGAAATCAATCAGGTACATCCGCTTGAAAAGAGAAATTGCCTTCATTATGTAGCGATGACTGGTTATGAACCATTGGCGGCATATCTTCTCTCTGCGGGGATAAATCATCAACAAGAGGATGCAACCGGCAGGACACCTCTACAAATTGCAGCAGATCACAGACATTTGGGAATTGTAAAACTAATAAGGGGCTGGCAGAAAAAGAAGGTCAATTTTGTTGACTTAGCAACAGAAATTAAAGTGAGTTGTTGAAATTATAACTGTTTGAAATGCAGCCATTTGTCATTGGAGATATACCAAGTTATTTCTTTTCTCACGATTATCGAAAGTCATTTGACACAATTGATCATAATATTTCATTGAAAAAATCAAATGTAATTGTTATCTGAGATAAAACAGTTTGCATGACTAGGAGAAACAACTGTTTCATTGAAAACTTTCAAATGTGGAGATTCATAATTCACATAAATTGTGTTTCAAAATCATCATTGGAAGAAATATCAATTTATGCGCGGATCAGTCTTTTTTCTTGAAAACGAAGAACAACACCAAAGAGCATTTGGCCATTAACAACAAAATCATTGCATATTGTCAAATTACAGGACTATACATTGATGAAAGTTTCTGTTGGAATACTTACATCGATTTTCAAAAACTACACCTCACTATTTTATCAAATCGTGAGATGTAGTTTTTGAAATTACTATGGATCTTCATCAAGTAATGGCCGAATCAATCAGAAAAAAAAAGAAAAATTATATCGAGATAATAAAATGAAAATCGAACCAATTTCCTGAATATTTTTCAGGATTAGGAATTTCATTATTTCAAAATATCCCAAATGTATATACAGGGTGTTAATTAAGTATGTACCATAAATTCAACAGACGATTCTTTCGGTAATTTCAAGACGAAATGTTCGTATAAACATGGATCCGCAAATCCTTCGTTCTCAAGATACAGGGTGTTAAATTAAAAATAAAGAAAAGGGTTTTCGTAAATATTTTGAATATCCTTCACCTAATTTTGTTGTAATTTGGCAATGGTATTTATAACATTAGGGAGCTGGTTGAGTCAGCACGTGATTCAATTTATCAAGTCCAGTGGCGTCTCGAGCGGGATTTGAACGAATATTTTTGACTTAAAAATGCACGCCACTTACTATTGTGAAATTTTCATTATCCTTGTAGATTAAGCTATTAGAAATACAACTTTTTAGTTTCCTTAATTTTTTTCGTATCTTGCTTAGTTTTTAAGAAAAAAAAGTCGACCTAATTGCATATCCCTGAATTGAAATTGGAAATTATTATTTTTACAATTTTTCATTACTGATTATGTAACAATAACAATAAATATTAAATAACATCAGCATGTAGACTAACGAATTACACTGAATTAAGTGTTGGAAATGGCCTCCTTTGGCTTCAATACAACCGTCTAGTGGCCGCATCATTGAATTTCACACTCTTCTGGAAATACTATATATAATAATCAAGGGTTGCCTTGGAAAACGATTGCAGTAATGAACAACTTGACAGTTGTTGTCAACTTTATAAGCTTTTGATTTATAATTGTTATAGAAAGTGTATTTAGTGGTAATTTTTGGAAGCATTTTTATAAAACATGGTCAGTTTACTAACAGTGAAATGGCAGATATGCATTTCTGTTATGGAATGGCTCACGGAAACTCGAATGCTGCAAGACGCATTTACCATGAAAGATTTCCTCAGCGTGTAGTGCATAATAGAAGAACTTTTTTACGTCTCCATGCACGACTTTCTGAAACAGTCAGCTTTGAAAGATCGACGGCTGTCATTGGTAGGCCTGCAACGATACGAACAGTTCAAATTGAAGAAGCTCTTTTAAATGAGATTGAAGTAAATCCTCATATCATTACTCGGAAAATAGCTGAAGAACTGAATATCACCCATGCCACAGTGCGGCAGATTTTAAGAGCCTAGCAGCTATATTCCTATCACATGCAACGTGTGCAAGCTCTATTTCCCAGAGATTTGCCTGTAAGACTAGTTTTTTCTAATTGGTTGCGCGGTAAAATAAGAAGAAATCCAGGCTTCCTAAGTCAAATATTGTTTACAGATGAAGCTTGTTTTTCTCGCAATTCAATTAACTTTAAGTTTTGGTCCGATATGAGGACCAAGTAGTACACTCCCTGTCTATAGGCGTAGTACTCATAAAAATGTGAAAATCATTTTCAAATTTTGATGTATTCTTGCTTGAAACTACTAGAAAACGAATACTAAGAAGTCACTAGTGTCGATTCAAAAACACACAACTACTGTTTCTCTCACCATGGATTATTCAAAACTAATTATCTCCTGAAAACTCTTGCTTAAATAGCATAATTTTAATGTATACAGAGCTAGGTAGGTACCTTCTGTAACTAACTACCTACCTCATTATGTTTGCTCAGTGCTCACAGACTAATGGAGACATCTAAGCTCGAGAATGTCGTGGAGACAACTAAGTCGACGCATGCGTCTACGAAAAGGGGACACAAAATGGCCGTCTTTGTCGCTTCTCTGTGGTAGGTATTTTCGGCCGGGAGTTTGAATAAAAATGCAGGTGGTGGAAGACCAGAAACACTAACAACACCTGAACTAGGAGAAGCTATTCTTGATGCCATAGCACCAAGAAGATTGCACTGCAGCTGAAAGTCAGCTCAAAATTTCCACCCAAAAGTATTATTTTGCGGGTGGTTGATTTATACGATGGCATACTATAACAATTTTTCACCACATATTTCGTTCGAGGATGAAGCAAAGATTATGTTTTCGGACGAAGCAAGATCAACAAGAGAACTCTACACGGACTTTCAGCTAGGTAATTTACCCATTTTATTAGAAAAAGTGCCAGCACTTTCGAGAGACAACCTGTGGTTAATGCACGACGGGGTTCCAGCTCATTTTATTGGTCTTACTCGTCAGCTTGATATGAAGAAAACACAAGCGACGTAGAAGTTACATTGATACTTTATAAATTTAAAAAAACTAAAAAAAAGTTGGTGGATGGAGTTCTTTTTTTTTCAATATTGTTGGTTGTGGTGCCTGCCCACTGAGACGCCACTAGACTTCATAATTTCAATCTAGTTCGAGCTAATTAAGCGTCTCATTACTTCAAATAACTGTAGCAAATTTCAACCCAATCGGTGTTAGGTTATTTATGATATTTCATGAATACGATTTTTATAAACTTCAAAGCTCTGTATCTCAGAAATGAAGCAGCTCCAAACATATGTTCGTTTGAACTTTTTCTCTTAAAACGACCTACGAACCTCCCTTTGAGGCTTCGTACTGTATTTAGAAAACATCTGTATTAGGAGCCTCGTAAATTGTTTATATTAAAGGATTCATTTCTCTGTCGAACCATAGAAGTCGTCTTCATAACGGGAGAAGTCATCGCCTTGGTTTGCTCAGGCTTGATCTTTAAGGACAGTTAAGTCCAGCAATGTATTTCTGTATAATAGTTCGTCCTTCTGGCAAACACTCGTCGAAAGGATCATGGAGCCGGACTCCAACCTGTCTGAACTCAAGACGTCAATCAGAATGCATGCCTGATTCTGCCTAGCACCATTAACTTTGATAGTGATTTTCCATGTTGGGGATGGTTACACTCCCAAATGACAGACTCCTCCACAAAAAAAGTCTTTCGAAAAATATTATTATTTCAATTTTTGTTTCAGTGAGATGGAATTCTGAATGATGACAGCTACTTTTCTTGGGACAGAATCAAAGGAGAAGAAACATGTCACGTTGAAATTAATATATAATTTTCATGTAATTTACATTATTTATGTTCAGATACTCAACAATAGAAGTTTCAGGGTGAGTATTGAATGTTTTTTTGTCATCCAGTCAATATTTTGTGACTCATCGGTTATTCTTAGATTCTATTTCAATACTAGAGTAACAGCAAATCATTCAACTATCCGATATGGAGACTTATTCTGAGGAGTTTTAAACCGAAAAAAATTCCAGCTCAGTTTTTGTTGAAAAGGAGTGATATTCTTTGTAATGTTAATTCTTTACTTCGTTTCTCATTCTAAAAATGCCCCTCAATATACTTTTCAAATAGAAGAACGATCAGTAAAAAAAACTGTTGCTGAAATATACAATTTAACACTCTGTGTTGAAGAAAAATCTTGGAAACTCGCCATTGGATATGATTTTTTGTGAAATATTCCGGACTACTTAAACAGTTTCCACCAATCAGGTCACAATATTGATTTGTATCGTGTATATTGTACTCACCGCATAATATACTCATTACCATGATAGTCTTGACCCAATATCATGTAAATCGTGATATACAGGGCGTCAATTTGAAAACCTCCCACCCTTAATATCTTCCTTCCACCCGTGGGTTGGGCTATCTATCAAGCGCGTCCCCAGGTGGCGGACAGGGGGAACGGCCTGGGGGCTGGGGGCCCTGTTCGGGAAGCCAATGTGGGCTTAAGGACGGAATCGCCGGACTCCTGGTCGGTGGCAGAAATAAGTAGGGTGAGGGGAACTAAGACTCCCCAAAAGCCTTTGTAAAACATGCAACCGTGGACCAGTCTACCCAAGCTAAGGTGCAAGGACAGCTGAATGGCCGCAGGGTGATATGCGGTCACGAACGATCCCCTTGGGGAACCGAGCAAAACCTCATTGTAATCAGCCTACCTCTGGTAATGCGGGGCTCTGCCAGAGGTGATCAATTCTTCCCTTGCTACTCGTGGGAACAAACTTGAACAAAAACCAATCCCGAGGCTGAACATAAGTGCTCACATCAATCTAAGGCGGTGGCTGGGGATAAAGAGAAATGTCCACCCCAATCTGCCGCTTGGAATGAGGCTGCACATAGCAGATCACCTCCAACAGCAATGGCACCAAGAGCTCCACCTTGAATAAAGGCAAGGAACCGGTTGCCTCTACAGGAAAGCTCCCTCACTTGTGAACCTCCACGGAGGAAACCCCAAGAAGGTTGAAGAAGCCGCCCAACGACAGTTATATCGCTGCACCTTCCAAAACCTTTGCGAAGGCCACCGTGAGACACCTCAAGGTTGCCAAAGAGAGTGTGTGTTTGTCAAGTATTGGCCTACACCTGCCAATGTAAAGGGGATGTCCCTAGTGACCTGTTCACCTTCCTGGAAAGGACAGGATGGACGATAACCAAGGAGGACAACGCCTCGGGAGAATGTACAATGGGTCACATGTGGCCCAAGTGCTGTGGGTATACAGTCATCCTCCCTAATATATACATACATACATACCCCTAATTTTGTAGTCATTGTCTAGAACTCAAGAAAATATCAAAACACTGCCTGTACTATAATCACACCTAAGTGCACTATTCTAAAGATACCAGAGATAGAGAGAGAGAGAGAGAGATCTTCCTTCCAGTAAATAATATAATAATAAAAAAACAGGTCAATTTCATAGTCAAGGGGGACACTTTCAAGGAATATTTGTAGCCATCGTGGTTCAACGCCTGAAGAGAAGTAGATGTTACCCACAGGAAAGAGATGTCGAGCGACACATCAATTTGATTGGTCCGAACCGATGAAATAAAAAGTATTTCATTGAATTACAGCATGATTGATTTCTTTTGTGGAATATATGTATATTGAACATTTTACAGATAGTTAGGAATTAGACGTTGAAAGGTAAGACCTCGTTTATACTTAGCTCGCACAAGTTTAGACTTCTGAGGGTTGTCGTTCGTAGGGGTGCGACAGCTGATCACCGGAAAAACAGATTTTTTTTAACAGATGACCAGAAATATTCATTAGAGTCATGCCTCCTGCTTGATTTCTCAAACTTTACTTTATTATGACAATCAATATTACTGGAGTTTTTTGCCAATACTAAATAGTTATTTTCAACACCACGACACGTGTTTCGATCACCAAGTGATCATCTTCAAGAGGAAGATGTTTAATCTTCATCGATTGACACTTCGACACGTGTTTTGATCATCAAGTGATCATCTTCAAGAGGAAGATGTTTGATATTCCTCTTGAAGATGATCACTTGGTGATTGAAACACGTCTCGAGATGTTGAAAATAACGATTTGGTGTTGGGAAAAAACTCCAGTAATATTCATTATTACACTAAAGGTTCCAAACATCACAAGATAACAATCTGTTAAAAAAATCTGTTTAAAATCTGTTTTTCCGTTAATCAGCTGTCGCCGCCATACGAACGACAACTCTCAGATGTTGAGAAACTTGTGCGAGCTAAGGACTAACGAGGTCTTACCTTTTAACGTGTGATTCCTACTATAAATATGATACTGGTTATTTTTGGTAACCGATAGTTTTGTAGTTCAAATTGATTCGTACATTGATGAATTTCAGTATGAGATGGATATTTTCTGATCTTTTTTGGTTAGAGTAGTGACATTACTCTGTCATTTTTATCATTTAATAAAATGAGTTTCTACGATATCACTCAGAATGAAATTGGCTCCTTGTACTTTACATGTAATTCGTTATCTGTAAAATTTATTTTGTTATCAATCGATCGATGATATCAATAGAAATGTTATCGTTTGTTAATGCACTATTATTGCTTTAATCATCAAATTGAACATATTGTTGTGAGCCGAGCCGCACAAATTTGTGAATTATTTCTTAAACAAATAAAGGTATGTTATCCAAGTTTTATTATCATCCACTCTTTTGTGGTAACCTTATTTGTGATTGAAACTCAGTACGTAGATTCGACAGTATCGCCAAAGTATTAAAATATAGAAGAAAACGTCTATACTTCAAATTCTCCAAACACTTAAAATTCCAAGTATTCTAGTTCGACTCGTTTCCGAGAAAGTCCCCTGATTCATTTGAAATTCAAGTAACAGTTTCGTGCACATTGAAATATCTTTTATTACCGGATTCCACTATCTTATCAATTGATATAATAGTTTCATTTGGAGCCGTTCTGTCCCGTGTCATATTTAATAAAAAATATTCCACTTGGAGACCCATGTTACTCCTGCGTCCAATAATGGGTTTGGGATTCTGTCTGGCGGCTCTCGCCAGCCCTATCCTCTGCTATATGTTGGGCCTGAACGTTAGTCTCCTCAAGAGTGACTTCCAGGTATCTTGCTTTCTTGGTCCACGGAATCTTTGTGGTCTGCGTAGAATACCAACATGTTGAAGTTGTTCTTCGGCTGGGGACGTCTGCTGTATATACCTAGAAGAGGTGTGAGAAAAGAACTGCACCTTGTGGGACTCCTACTTCCAGAAGTCGCATGACAGAGATATCGTGTCCTACTCTGCAATGGCATCGTTGGCCTGCTTGAAAAGATTTCATTAGTCTCACCAATTGTTTCGAGCCGACGGTCGACGGTCCACTAGCCAAAATTGCTCATTTTGGCTAGTGGTCAGTCGTACCAAACTCTGTCGAACACCTTGGAGACGTCTAGGAATATCGCTCTGGTGTGGTATCCTTTGCCCAGGTTGAAACTTTCAGTCGCATCTGAAACCGAACTGTTCGTCTGGTAAGATTTCTGGTTCGTTGGTTTGGTCGTCTAGTCTTTTCAATGTGACTCGTTCTGCCACTGTGCTCAACGAAGGTATCAAGCTTACTGGCCGATGGTTGTCCGGAAATAACTGATATTTTTTCGGCTTCGGAATGTGGATGATGACTCCATGAATGGATAAGGAAAATGTTGTAGTCTGAATATAACAATAATGATGTTTGTCATTACCGCTATACCTTCCATGGTAGGACCTTCAGTGTCCGGTTTGGAATTTGGTCCGGGCCTGGTACTTTCCGAGGGCCTGGTGCTTTCCGATGCCTTTCACTTCCTCGAGAGATGTTGGAGGGGGTTGTCAGGGGTTGGGCGTTGTCTTTTGGCTGTGTCTTATCCTGCCTACTGTGTGTTCGACTTGGTTTTCTATTTCTTCTACTTCGTCCGTGAAGGAGACATCATTTTCTCTACACGGTCTTTCGAAGGTGTCGGCAAAGGCTTCCGCTTTCTCTCGATCCGGTGGACATGGTTTTCGGCGACCCTTCCTCAGGACTTTCTGCATTTTCGATGCCGTCTTTGGGACAAAATGTGGAGAACGAAGAAGGGTACATGATGGAGAAAACTGCGTAAACGCAAGCGAGACGTAAGTGGTGGTAAGTTAACTTGCCAAGTTTTCATGTCGGCGTTGATGGTTCGACCAATCTTTGAAACCGATAAGTAGAAAGCTCTTCTGGAATTCCATCGAAAAACAGATCCACGTGCTTCTAGAAATGATATGAAGTCAAGGTATGTGAAACATCTAGCAGAAGCTATGTTTGTCAGTATATATTCTAGCTTTGGGAATAGATGGATTTTTTTGATTCACAAATTAAACTACGTTCCTGTGTCTCATACAATGTAACATTTCAGCCAGACCGTGAGAGTGTTTATAAAAATTCATTTGATTATTCCTTGGCCAGACGCACCGTTATGAAAAAGACGTACTTATCGAAATTCAACAAAACGGGCAGACAAACAGTCCAAATCTTGAAATTTATAGATTGCAAGCTAGGCAAAATATGGGTTTTGGCGTTGAACCAGTGGTGCGGGCAGTTTTTTGTGAGAGTCACGGGGAATAGGTCACGAGAGCCGGTGGAAACGAGTTCGGGGGGTCATACCTCCGAAGCTGAGGATGGTGGCCTAAATAGGAGAGTTATTTTTCAAGCACGTGATGCGACATTTATGGGAAATCAGTAGCGACATCGCCAGCCGGTAATGGGTACAGGGAAGTTTAAAATGAAAGTGTTGGTGTTGAAGACTCACCGGGTCAACGGAATCTATGAGTTGACCATAAAACACCAAAGAGGCGTTATGTAAGTGTTTGTTTTTTTGTTCATATACTAATCAATCAATACTGAGAAGGAGAGTTCACATAATCGTTTGTCTGAGTTGACTTCCTATTTGCAAAGAGGTAATATATTGTTGGGTTCCCAGTGTGGTCTGTTTAGCTACAGTTTAGATTACAATTTAAAAAGAGAAGCAAATTTGGTATTAACTTGGTCCGTTTGTAATTTTTTGAGAGGTTAAATTAATTATAAATAGCACAGTCGAATTGGCGGCGGTTTCTTTGTTCTATCGTTTTCGTAGATTTCACACGTTTTTTTTTTGTTTATGGAGTAGCTGTTTCACTCATTATACTTTATATTCGAAACCTCGGACTTTCATTTTCTCTTGGAATGAGAAAAATACCATCCTTATAGAGTAAGATGAAGCCGTTAAAATGAAAAAAAGAAATGTTTGAAAGTTATTAATGATTTTTTCACGTTAACAACGGTGGACTAAGAATGATATTCAAAAGAGTACTTTATAAGATTCCTTGTATACAGTATATGGCCAGTCATTGTTCTGGTGAGCCCAGTGCAATTGTAAAGGATAAATAGTAAGTTCCGTATTAAAATAATAACATAGCTGTAGGATACGTTATTAAAAAGGCTACTGGATCCGTTTTCCGAGGGCATTCATTGAGAGTTTCTCAAATTTCCAAGGCAAAATTGAACAATATGTGAAGGTGATGTGGCGAATAAAATCATGTATATTCTGATCAATTTTTTGTGAGAAAAAAAGTGGAATAATACATTCTTTCGATTTTTGGAAGGACATTTCGGAATGGGGGGAGAGCGCCACGTTTTTACAGGCCGTTTCTTTTATCATGTGGTAACATTGCTATATTCTAAACCGTAACAGATACGAAAAGACGATTAAATGGGAAAAAGGTAACTGCCATCGAGAACAATACAATGGTCGAGGGAAATTTACGGAGACTCTCGCCCTGCTGTTTTTCGATTTCTTCGAATGAAATTGTTATTTCGGAGAATATGAAAAAATGGAAAAATAACATGTTATTGTATCCAAAGTGTACTATGACGATGTAATAATGAATATTCGATAAAACGTTTCGTGTCAACATGGCCACCATCAAATTTTGTTCAATACGGACCTGTCTTTTTTATCATAGATATTGATGAAGCAATAAATTCACAATCCAACGATATGTTTATATCGTTTCATTAGAAATAACCTCTATCATCAGTGACAACAATCAAACTGAAGAACAATTTATGTTATCAAAGCTACATGACAATCTACATTAAATCCTCGAATTGACGACCTTTTTGTTGAATGCACGTAAGTTGTTGGTCCAGACAATTTCCGTGACAATTTTCTAGCATGATAGGTGTAATACCAATACATGCATCTTTTATTTTTTGTTTGAGATGGTCGGTATCTGTACTTGATGTTGAAAAAACTTCATCCTTCATGTATCCTCATATGTATTCTGCGATAGAAACCAAGCAAAGCCTACGCGTTTAAGATGGCAAATGAATTGAGATGCTAGTTGATCTTACCAAATCATACAACAATCGAATTTTGACCAAAAACTGATATTTTCGTTATTTCCGAGATTGAAATTTATAAAAATATTACGAATTATAATTGATTAAAGAGAAATAAGCCTTGAAAGAAGGATTACGGCAATACAAAAATTTCAAAAAGAAAAAGTACGAATTTTCACTGTATTAGAGTGCCTACCTGTCAAATTTATTGGGTTGTCTGAATTATATTTTGGAGAAATCGAAATAATTTACAGAAGAAGTAACGACAGGACCGTAATTTAAAATTGTTGTCACTGATGATGATAGTTATTTCAAATGAAACGTAATGAAAAAAAAAAAGTCCGTATTTAAAAAAAAGTTGTTGGTGGCCATGTTGACACGAAACGTTAAATCGAATATTTATTATCACATCGTCATAGTAAACTTCGAATACAATAACGTTTTTTTTCTTCTATTTTTTGATGTTCTCCGAAATAACAATTCCGTTCGAAAAAAGTAAAAATAGCATTTTTGGTTTTCCCCGTATAACTCGAGAAGGGCGAGAGATCCCGTTAATTTTTTTCCACCATTGTATTGTTCTCGATGACAGTTACCTTTTTTCCCATTCAATTGTCTTCGTATGTGTTACGGTTTAGAATATAACAATGTTATCACACGATGAAAGAAACGACCTGTATACTGAATTTCTGAGTCGCCTACCTTCTTTTTCGTGAATTCAAATAACTTTTTTCTACTAGTTAACAGTGACACTGTCATTCATCTATCAGTTCAATAATCTCGATGTTAGATTTCAACTCCAGTTCAACTATGTCTACCAATTGAAAAAAAAAAAAATTAAATCTCGTGTTAACGGTTATCATTCCTGATATCATTGATTATCAAATGATTCTACGGTCGTTTTTCTCCATCGTTGAAATTTTTCTGTAGCTAATTCTTCTGCAAAGAATATAACGAAAAATTCTTGTCGCTACTGTTTGGTATATTACTAGAGGTAAATAACAGACAAAACCATTAATACGATTGAACCAACACTTTATTTCGAATGTCATGATGACAAGTACATACATACATCCCAACATATAGTGATTTTCTATAATGGCTCTCCCCCATCCTATTTTTTGAACGGGTCAACTCCAAAAATTTAAATTTGGGGTAATGAAATTAATAAGCATGAATACTTCATTTTGAAGTGAAATTGACAGATGAAACTATCAAGATGGCGACTTTGTGACACATTTTTTTTGAAGTTCCTGATAAATGCTTCACAACTCTAGAATATAATGTCATAAAGTTACTGTTATGAAACTTACTGTTCGCACTAGTGCGAACTTAGAGCTGAACACAGCAAGCATAGAGCTAGTGATGAGACTTGGGGGCATGGGTGATTACGACCTCGTCCTCGAGTCATGTAAGTACAGTTCCCAATAATTCTAGAGAATGGCTCCAAAGCAGGAGCCGAAAAGTCGAAAAGATGAAAATTCTTCTGTCTATACATACAGGCTGATTCACGGTGGATGGCACATTAGACGTTTCTGGTGAACCAGACAACGGATCACTTTGAAAATTTAATGGAGGGCATATTCGAACATTCTCTAGCCAACTAAAATATTTTCGACAATGCGGTGTTGCCGCTTCTATTAGAAAGCAGTAGCAACTTTGATTTTTCAAATGGAACACTCTGTATATAATATTATTTTTGGAATCT